CTGATCTTCCCTTTACATTGTTGGTACAAATATGTATTGCTTAAAATTATTCGTGTCATATAATATCGTATTGTTTACTTTATACTTAATTTCATATTCTCCATACCGAAAAATGATTCAAAAAAGAGTTCTCAGTTTTAATAAGCTACATATTTTATTTATTTATTTATTTTTTTAAGAATTTCTTATAGGATGAATAATTTCTAAGACCGAAAAAGGTTTGTTTTAGCTACTTAAAGTTGAATTTGAAGAATATGAGCTAAAATTAAATTTTGTGAACAAATATCAGCGTGTAATCCGAATACTGGATTCCATTGAAATGTCTTCAGTAGTTTCGGTCTACAAGAAGAGGGAGAGCAGTCATGTGACCTCCTCATTATGTGTTCATTATTCTCATAGGTTTATGTCTTTTGTATATGCAACCGACGACCCCCTGAAAACAAACCGAAAGCGGATCCACTTGTGCCAACTTGCCCACTCGACGATGAGTCGAAATATTGGTAGTTGTTAACTTGATGGACAACTTGTAATGAGCTTGTTACGAAGTTTCACAACAAATTTGAGAAATGTTTACTGAATGGTACACAGTTAATTTGAATAATCTGTCAGTAGTATATCAGCTGACGCCCTACAGAGCCGAAAATTTACTTATATACTATTTAAAAATTCAGCTTCTGCCATCAGAAAACACACTGAATCTCCATTACAGCGACCAAAGTGTTAATGCTGTTCAGGGAACTACACTTACCACTGCGCTTTAAAGGGTTAACAGTAATACATCTTTCTTTGTTTCCAGTTTTTCTATCAATAGTCCAGAGGCAGTTTGATTTTGTGTGGAGAGTTGTTTTGATCTGTAACTGCAGCTGTGTCGCTGAGTTGAGAAGGCACCAGTGAAACGGTAGCACGACTTGCAGCATGCGGCTTGCTGCACATGATGTAGTTATCTGAAGGAACAACTCTTCTGTCACGGAACCTTACTGGAGTCATACTGGAGCTGGACGCAACGGATACAGCATGCTGAAATGTCGCATGCCCATGAGTTATAGTAGTAGTATTACAAACAGAAAGAAACTTACATCTACGTAATGACTTAGACCTGGTAGAGAGGAAATGGATACGGTATTTGTCCCATAACAGTTGGACAGTGTAACGCCTCCATCTGAATTGAGTTTATTCTTCTTTTCAATGTGTGAGCGCAGACTCAGGAGGAAGAACCTGATCGTCCTCACGTCAAACAGAGGCAACCCGTGTTNATATCGGCATACTTTAACATAAGGAACACCCTCCCGAAATTTGGTCAATTCCTCCTGGGACACTCTGTATATGTCTCTCCTTCATGTCGAAACCATTTTACTACTGCCGGTCATTCGTTTAAAGTCTGAAGTCTCTCGTTAGGCCCTATACTCTCCACATGTCTCGGTTGAGAGCTGGTCAGTGACTTAGATGCGCGTGGGGAGAATATGGCTATCTGCGCAGTTTCTTTTGCTTGTAGTAGTACTACTATACTCCGCTAGTGGAACTGACCCTTTCGCTTTCATCATTACCATTTACTGACTTGCTAGTTCCAGGAGGTTGCTATGTCTTGTATATTATCACCACTGAGACGTCACCATATTCATTATTCTCAGGCATGCGTAGGGGGCCTATGTATACCCATCGAAGTTATAGAACCTTCTATAGATATAAGCCATTCTATCAATTTTTGAAGTCAGTCTAGATAGTGTGGGACCCTCAACGTCTCACAACCTTATGGGCCTTCACGGCCTTGTACAGGGATAGCTTTATTTTACTTACTTACTTATGACTTTTCTTGGGACCATTCCATGATGACAAACTTTCGGACACAGAAGTTAATATTAGGAGAACGTATTTTAAACGTAATTATAAAGAAAATATGGAGGTAGAATATAAAACCCAGAGTACTATTACACTCAAATATCACAATATCATAGTATCAGCTAATTGCAGTAATACGTGGACTAACATATCTGGACCAGCCTGGTCTTCTTTAGGCCTTATATATTTCAAATACATAAATATTATACATGAACTACGGCAGTGTATAACACTACTGAAATGCTATATATTATGTGTGAAGATTTATGTGGATGTATATTTACAGTGCTGTAACACACGATAGTTATATATGAATTGAAGCGAATATTAAGACAGTGGTCTTCTTGAATGTACTGCCTTGTGCACTGTTAGATATATACCAACGTTGATTAACCTGCTGCTTCAATCTTCAAGACAGTAGAGTCATTTACCTTGAAGATGCAGACAGAAGGTTCCTCCGAAACACTTGTACCTATATACATGGTGTCACTTCTTAGAGGGTAGATCTTAGTAATTAGGCCTTCTGTAGGTTTTAAGTAGTGTATTGGACCTGAAGGTAACCAAAATATTAGTCGAAACATGTAGCCCACATACGTGTATTGTCACAATTAGCTAAAAATATGGCGATAGTTGATTGTAATACTGGACTGCTGTTGGTTTTTATATCATGTTTAAAATCAACAAAGCATGATGCTTCAATATGACACTAAGGGTACTTCTTGGCCCGCGCCATAGCTCAAGCGGTTAGTCGCTGGCTACCCACCGCGACAGCCCGGGTTCGATCCCGGGTCTGATCAAGTGGGATTTGTGGTGGACAATGTGGCGCTGGGGCGGGTTTTCTCCGAGTACTTCGACTTCCCCTGCCAATCTTCATTCCACCAAATTCTTCATCATCGTAATCACCAGGGGCAGGCTACAATAGGCCAATCAGTGGCCGCCGTGCCGAGTGGACCCAGTTGGACTCCACCCCCCCACTAATAGAATAAAAAAAATGTTACTTCTTCGAAGTATTATTGGATCAGTTAGGCAACCTGTATATATACGTGTATTATCTACTTAGTTTCTTATTACGCATGCAGTGATATGATTCCCAAGTGTTTGTCTTGACTGTCATTCCTGCTATCATTTATACTCGCGGAATATATGGATCTGTTCCGAAACAGTATTTCGCCAGCTGTCTGCAAATCTCATGAAAGTAATTATGTTGTCCGCTATCCCCACGGTCTGCTCCGCATGTTCTACTTAAGCCATGGAGGAAACATTTATATGACTATTTTTCCTCATAATATTTTTGATCATTGGGGTAATTTATTTTCTGCTTTAGTTTCCGCATATTTGAACCAGCAGAACAGAACATACTCAGAAATTGTCTGCCATATCATGTGATGTGGGAATTGCGTTTTTCATTTTGATTTTCATGGAAGATATACAGAGTGGCCTCAAAAGTTGATTAATCTAAAACAGTCTGTCGTATTGACGGGAATGTTCAGATTAAAACCTGCTAGTCAATTAGTAGAACGGAAACACGGCATTGTGAGTTGTGCATTGAGTATGAAGGATCTCATTTCAAGGAATTTTTGCAAATTCAGTATGTAATAAAGAAACGTCTAATATTTTAATATACATTCTAGTAAGCAATTAACTAACTTTTGGACCAACCTGTATATTCTGCTTGCACTGTACCTCGTTGTCTCAAGATAAAATCTTGAGCTCTCACTCAGAGGGTCCCGAGTTCGATCGCTGGTAAAATCTACTTGCAGATTTTTCTGCATTTTAAAGGATGAGAGTTAGAGTGGATTTACACCCTATTTTCTCCAATGGTAGATATTTTAATTTACATGCTTATCTGCATGGAGCATTACACATATAAATAATATTGGTTCTCAGATATGCTAACTCAGTGTTTTCCAATCTTTTGAACTCCACGGGTCATCTGAAACCCCCCTTTATTTACCGTATATCTTTTGCTTGTGATGCTGCTTACAAAGAAAACTGTTTAAAAGAAAGCAAAACTTAAACAAAGAAAATATTGCCACTGTTCAGCAGAAGTTCATTCAAAAGAAATTTCCATGGAACACTGACAAAACGTCTACGGTTCAAAAGTTTAGAAACGCTGTGTTACCAATCTCTAAAAGTTGCACAGAGGATAGAATATCTTATAAATGAACGAAAGGTTCAAATAATATCCAGCAACAAGGAGATGTTAAAAATATGGCAAGCAATTTGGTTTTATTTATTCAGTACATACAAATATAAAATAAATTAAAATGTTTCAAAGTATATTTCATAGAATTATAACAAAACTCCCATATAGGAACACTGCATCTGTCATTCATTATGTAAATTATTTCCAATTTTACGGCCGTCAAAGTAACCAACTCCCACCCAATTAAACAGGCGTCCTACGCCTGTCAGACTTTGTCGACGGGGTTAAAATTTGTTTTTAAACTGATGAAAGTTTTTTTTTTTACTTCAGTACACACTGTACCTTTAAAACTGAAAGCCATACAAACATTAAACATATATACCTGTTTATTGTTTTGTTAAATCTTATTTATGCTCGTATAATGTAATATTTTCGCTAGGGACAAGTTCAACCTGTAATATTTTCTCCAAATATTGTTTTTACTAACTTTTATATTAACAATAATGATAATAATTTTAAGACTAATGGTCATTGGATACTTTTCAATTGACCTAATCCTTCCAGCCGCAGTATGACCCTGGGGTTGACTCAGCCTCTAACAGAAATGGGTACCAGGAATTAATTAAATAATTTTCCTGAGGAGTAAAGCGCGGCCGGCGCGTAAGACTGACAACCTTACCGCCATCTTTGAGCCGATTGTCTAGATAATGTGGGACCCTCAACGTCTCACAACCCTATGTGCCTTCACGGCCTGGTACAGGGATAGCTTTACTTTTTATTATAATAACTGTGTTATTGTTGGCATTTAGATGTGTACTTGCATAATTTTCTGAAGTCTGTTATTTGTGATGGCATTCAGTTATGGATTTTCATGGATAATCCCCAGAGCGTAATTCTACATACACTTCAACTTTTTTATCCCAGAACCCTGTTTGAGAATCATGTGCAATTTTCCGCTTGTAGCGAGCCATCTTACTGCAAGGATTACTTGAGTTCATTTGATTATCTCTCCGGATAGCTTCATTCCTGAGAAGTGGGGACCCTGCAGCGTAACCTGTGGACAGGGTTTCCGGAAACGTGAGGTTCAGTGCAAGATCTTTCTGGAGTTCTCGAAGACTATTGCTCGCCTTCCTGATTCTCAGTGCCAAGGCCCGAAGCCATCCGAAGTTGAGCGCTGTGTGCTGGAGCCCTGCTCAGCTGAAAGGTATGCAGACATACATTTCGCTTTAGTATTTGAAAATTATACTTTGAGTCTCACCGGAATCAAAAATGTGTGTTAGATTTGTTGTAAACACTATATATTTGCTAGACTGAGGCCCCAGAAGGAAGTTTCATAGGTGGTGGTAATGATGGCCTTCAATGGCAGCTGCATGAGATTTCTTTTCTTGGCCTCATTGTAGTTTTTGTTATAACTTGTAACTTTTGAAATTTGGCTCAATTCGTATGATTTCTGTAGAAAAGTTATTTCTTACAGTTGCTTCCACTTTAGCTATTCTGTCAACTTGTTTCCTCATGTGATACAAGAGGAAACGAAACAGTTGACACAAACACAACATTAGAAACGGTTTGCTGGATGGTGCAGCATGTAGAATTCTTAACGGCATTCTTCACCGTTTTTTAAGCTGACGTGCGATCTTTTCTTTTCATAACTATTTAAGATAGTATGAAAAAGTCAATTTATGCCTTCAAAGGGAAGAAATATTAATTCTGTCATATTAAGGTCCATTTTTCTGAGTAACTACAAATTCTATAGTTCTGAAATTTTGTACAGATATTTATGGGGTTTCTGTATTTACTGACTTTGTCTTACAAGTCTGACACTTAAAAGTCCTGAAGTTATTAAATATTTTCTATGGAGAATGTTGAAAAGTATGGTCTATGGGAAGAAAATTACAAGCAGGAAGGCAGTAAATACAGAAACCCATAAATGACTATGTACCAAATTTAAGGACTGCAGAATCATTAGGTATTCATAAAAACTACCTGAATATGAAAAATTAATATTTCAACCTTCTGCCTCCCCTTAAGTAAAGTGGGCTTTATTTTAGGCCAGTATGGCTGAAAATCGGCAATGTCCGACAACGTTTTGTGAAAGTTTCCCGTATAAAAAGTAAATATATAAAAAAACGTTCAACTGTGCAGGAACTACCAGAAGGTGCTAAGGTAGTTAAGTCTGCAGGCATGTTCGATATATTTTGATTCTTTTGGTGCACTTTGAGGAAAAAATTAAAATTTTTAAACGGGAATATCACTAAAACATCCAGTTCAGTGCCATTTAATATTAGTATCTGGGTACTGATAGACCCACAAGATTACAGAGGTGTCATGTGGTCATAACATTAGTATAGTTGGACTTCTTTCTTTAGTATCAGTCAACATTTGAAGTACGACGTTAATCAAAAAAATATTTAAAAATTCAGTTTCTGCTTTATGAAAAAAAAACACTATGTCTCCATTAAAAAACCCATGGGTTAGGCCTAATGCTGTATAGGGAAATAGGCCCTGCTTAGTAGGAGAACCATAGAAGTTTACCAGCTTTCCAGAGAAATGTACTGCCTGCCTGTTGTTTGCTCGGCCTATGCTTAGACCCTGAAAATGGGGGCAATACTTTCCTCCTTTACAAGACTACATAACGGCATATCCCTCTGTTCCCTTTGGTCTTGCACAATTTCTGATCAAATCTCCCCCACGGAATGGAATATCCTAAATTGTTTTTTTTTTGCGCTTCCATGAAAATATTAATTGATTTTTTATATCTTCTCTTCTCTTCCTAAAGAACTGCTGATGCAGAAAATGAGTTTCCCATTCTTTTGATACTTTATGCAATCTTGTACCACTTATGATACAAGTAAGTTACATCATGTCCTGGCTTTCACTATTGGACGCCTAGCTGCGAAAACGTTGTTTTTTTGACCACAAAAAACTGTGATGAATAATGTTTTATGAATTAATGATTTTCTGGACAAAACATGAACATAGAGATGAACACAGTTATTTTACCACAGTTGAGTGAGTATCACTTTCATGTCATATTCGGGAGTTCTCGGGTTCAGATCTCGGCGGGAGACTGACTATTCTACTCCAATTTTTCGTCGTGTTCGTCCGTTCCTACAAGCAAATGCGGGCATAGTACTTCAGATTAGGCCACAAGTACTTCCTTCCACATGCATTCCAATTCATTATTCACTAAATCATCTTATCATTTGATGCCATGGGCCCCTAGACCGCGCTACTGACAGTGTCACTATGTAAATCACATGTTATTGGATCCTCCATCTTGCGGTATATTCTGTTGGAGGAAAATAAGAATGAAATTTATTAACGTTTACAGATATATATTCAGGCAGTGCTGATTCCTAACGTCAGATTTATGGTGTTGTGACGAACAGTTTCCGTACTGATGCAACGAGTCTGAAAGAAACATGGAAGATGCTGGGTTAGTAAATAACCTTAAAATAGGTCAGAGGCACTCCTTCCTGATTCACGATGCGAAGTCAACCCTGCAAACCGTTTAACGGTGCATACGATTCATCAGGTGTTGTGACCGGTTGTGACATTGAAATGGTTTCAGATTGGAGCAAGAAGGCGGTTTCTACAGAGACTCTGGTACGTACAGACATGACCAGATCAGGGTGGCAGCACCGGCAGGAAAGACATACACGTGGAAACAACAGGGCTTCACCCACTGCAGTGCTTCCTGTCTCGGTGGTGAGTTGCTCTTGTGGTCTTTGGAATTATAACACCATTTAAGCTTCTATGTCAAAGCTAGGGTCAGTATGCTCCTCTGAAATTTCAGTACACACATAATAGATAACACCGTGGCATAATTTAGAATACCAAAGCACGAGTCTTCACTGTCATTAAAGATTCGAATTTTACATAGTACACGTAAGACTTGTTTACGAGAGTCCGTCATAAAATGTGATTTCTTGAATGTTTAGTTATGCTGTTGTCAGCTGGCGAAATAATTCCCAGCGGTATGTGACCAGAAGGTTCATCACCATGTTCACAAATATATCGGGCAAATATTTACTTATACGGACTTTACTGTATGTTTCGTTTAAGCACATTTATTCAGCCTAACTAGCTTCATATGTACCCCAAGCTCTAAGAGAATATTGCACAATACTTCCTAACTGAATCATAGGCTTTCTTGAAGTCTGCAAATAGCTGATGTACTGTCTCATTGTACTCCCATTTCTTCTCCAGTATCTCACAAATTGAAAAGATCTGGTCTGTAGTTGATCTGTTACATCAAAACTCACACTAATGAACCCCAAGAATTTCATCTCTGTATGGCCTTAAACTTAAGAGGAGAACGTTGGATCTTGGGGTAAATTTTCAAGAAGTTAGCACCAAAATCAGCTGTGGTATTCAGAAATGGATCTGCCAATACACAGCTCAAATTAAAATTTATCTGGCTGATTTTTGGTCACTTGACAAGATTCACTGTATTTTCAAAGAGTAGGAAATTCTTAATGAAAATTTTGGGGAATTGAATGATACTGCCTTGAGCTTCACAACACCATCTGACAGCTGAATTCAACCTGTGTGCTGCACGTTGCAGAGCTAGATCCAGAATTCAGTTTCTGTCTCTGAGAAAACACACTGAATCTCCATTTCAAGGATCAATCAGTTAATACTATTTACAGAAGTACTCCTTTATACTGGTTATCATATAGAACACATAAATATATTCTGTAGTAGAAATTCAGTTTTTGATTGGTAAAGCAGGTAGTACAAAAGTTGCTTTTAGTTTCCTTCATGCTTTGAATGGTTGAATAACCAAAATAGATCAGAGTCACGAAATTTGCTATGGAAAGTGAATGGCTAGGAACATAGCTGCCACTTTAACATTAAGTCTAGAAAACAAAACCTTATGTTTTATGTTTCTCATCTTCCTCACAGGGGTCCAGGAGTCGCTTATCCTGTGCGTTCGGGATGGCGACCAGAAGCCAGTATCACCATTCCTGTGCCCCCAGGATGCGCGTCCTGAAGCCCTTATCCGTACATGTAACGACCACCCATGCCCGCCACGATGGAATTACTCTGACTTTCAGCCATGCACAAAGTCCTGTGGTGTGGGCTTCCAGACCCGAGAAGTGAACTGCATTCATGAAGTGACACGTGGCGGAACCAACACGGTCATTGTGCCCAACAACATGTGCCCACAGCCACCACCCATTGACCGCCAGTACTGTAATGTGTTGGACTGCCCCATCCGCTGGCACACCACTGAGTGGACAAAGGCACGTAACTGAAAACTAGAGATCAACTATTGCACTGAGAATTATCACAGTTTTCTTCAGTCTATGAAAAATTTGTAATAGTGCCTTGAAGTAAGCTGTGATGACTGTGCTGTACTTTCTTTTCATTTCATAAGAGTCACCCTTCCACTCGACACTGCATAACTTGCAGGGATGTAGTGTAGAAAGAGTCGTTGAAAAAAGAAACAACCAAACAAACAAGGAGACAAACAAGAAACAAGTTGCACAATGTCATGATGAAGTGGATAGCAATCATACTTCATATTTAAGAGCTCTGTGGTTCAAATCTCCATTCAGAGACCAGGTACCTGACTGAGAACTTTTGTGATATTTGGTTCCTCCAGGAAAGTGGCAGAATGATACCTCAAATTAGGCAAGAACCACTTCAGTAAATATCCTTTCAAAATTCATTATTCACTGATTATCCTACTGGTCAGTGCCATAAAGTATGAACTATTGAACGTATCGTGAAATAAACCCTGTTAAATAAATAAATACATTTATTAAAGTGTATGTAAAGTATTATGCTTACAGTATCAATATTTGCCTCTTATTTTATAGATGTCTGTAGACACCTGTATTAAAATGTATAAATACAATTTTTATATTTATATAAGATCTCATCTGACAAAGTCAACTAGTTCCTTCCCATTAAATGCTACTGTTTTTATTTTATTAAAGAAGTTTTCATATCCTATTATTAATTTAAATCACTTGATGTATAAAAATTAATTTCTGTTACTTGCTATTTACACATATTCTGATGAGCTCATAGACAATTTTAATGCAAATAATAAATTTCTTTTCAAAAATTCTTTCTGCGGGCACATGGTGTTTAGATAAATTAAAATGATATTAATATGACACACAAGCAGAAGTAACTGTTCCTAACCCAGAATACGGTTGCTTCCATTATCAGTACCAGAACAGTGATTGCTTTAAAGAAATGATAATGCTGGAATTAACAAAATAAGTGTACTCTTGTAATTAAAAAGACTGGGAATGAGGATTCAAATCATATCTGAAAATTTGTGCAGTTTTTGTGCATTATTTTAAGAACCATGGCTACCATACAGATAGGCAAGCTACAGAATAAACTTCTGACATAGTTGGGTGCTATCCATTTGATCCATGATAGGAAACATGAAACAGAACAGTACATACGAGGGGCAGTCAAAAAGTCCCTGGAATGGTGGTATAGCAGTCTAATGGTAGGACATACAGCAACGCTTACCTAATCACCTTCAAAGTGGGACCCTTGCGCACACACACACACACACACTTGCTCCATCGATGCTGCCATTGTTGGAAGCAGCAGTGGAAGGCTTCTCTTGGAATCTTCCGGAGCTCAGCTGTCGCATTCGTTTTGATGTCCTCCATGGTTGCGAAACATGTCCCCTTGAGGCCCATTTTCAGAGTAGAGAACAGCCAACAGTCACTTGGAGCGAGATCCAGAGGGTACGGTGGTTGAGTGATGACAGGAATGTTTTTCTGGGCAAGGAATTGCTGCACAACAAGTGATTTGTGGCTCAGTGCATTATCATGATGCAGAAACCACTGTCCCTGCCACTTGTTGTGCTGCTTCCTCTGAACCTCATCGTGCAACCTCTGTAAAACTTGCACATAGAAATGGCCAGTAACAGTCTGTCCAGGTGGTACAAACTCATGCTGCACCAAACCGTCGATGTCAAAGAATGCAGTGAGCATCACTTTGTCTTTGGATCTGACGAGGCGTGATTTTTTGTCCCGGGAGACAACGCTGTGTGCCACTCCGATGACTGCATCTTTGTCTCCTTGTCGTAGGCGAACACCAATGATTCATCACCAGTGACAATCTTTTTGAGAAACATTGGGTCCTGCATACTTTTGTCAAACAGATCACCAGTGACCATCATGCAACATTCCATCTGATCTGTGGTCAGCTGCCTCGGAACAAACTTTGCACTGACATGTCTCATCTTCAAATCATTGGACAAAATGGCATGAATGGATCTGTAAGAGATACCAACTTCTTGCTCAAACTCTGCAATGGTCATTCTTCGATCACATCGAATCAGTTGTCGCACTTTTCCAATCATTTCTTCACTGGTCATCCTCTAACGTCTCCTGCCAATTCTTAAACCGGGAAAACCAGTCGTAAACTGCGGATTTCTTTAGTGCAGTATCACCGTAAACTTGCTGCAGGGCTGATTGCATCTCTGAAGCAGATTTTACTAATATGCACAAGAACTTGATGTCCGCACCCTGTTCAAACTGCAACATTGCGCCGAATGACCAACACTCACGTCTAATTCAAACAGAACAGTAACAACACTGCACACTGAAACCTGTCCAGACCTGTTGTGCCTGTGAGCAGACATGCTGAGCTCCCCACCATAACAGTGTGTGCGCTATCTTATCGCTCGTTCTCAGTCTGCAGGGGAATTCCGGGAACTTTTTGACTGACCTATGTATATACAGGCATTTGAGAAACTAATGGAAGCACTAGAGCTACAGTACTAATTTCTTTAGTAATATGGTGCTGGACCAGTATAGCCCAGTCCTTCTTGGAATTGACTTGTGCACGTTTTGAACCATCTTAAGCTGAACATTACAGCAGGCTTCTTGAAGAACATATTTAGATTGCTTTAGAGATTTTGGAGATGGGAGTTTGTTCCTCACTCTAGTCCCTAAAATTGACCAGAGTAGTTAATTATGTTCAAATGTGATTGTGCTGGCCAGGAATGATGTTGAAGTTCACCTTCATGTTCTTCAAACCATGATTGAACAGTTCCAGCTGTGTGAATGGGGGCATTGATATCTTTGAAAACTGCATCGTTGTTCGGAAATATCTGGATTATGGGATGCACCTGATTATCCAACCTGTCCATATGCATACTCCCTTGTAGCATTTCAGCCATGAAGGGGTCCAACAGAATATCGTTGCCCAAACTATCACAGAATCTTCCCCCTTCTTTCACTGTTGGAACCAAGAATTCCAAATTTCTCGAGTTTCCTCCAAATGTAAACTCTTCCTGGTGTAGGGAACAACGTGAAGGACTACTCAGCTGACCATATCACTTGTTTCCAGTTGTCTGATATCCAGGTTTTATGGTCGTGACATCATTGTTTATGCATTTGAGCATTACTTTCAGTAATCAGAGGTTTAGTAGTTGCAGTCATATCATGGATGATGGATTTGTGAAGCTGATGTCGTGCAGTTTTTGTGGAAACAGGGTCTTCAGGATGAATATTCAGTTCTGCTATCCCATCACCTGTGCTGCAATAGATCTGCAATTTTTTTAATCAGTCCTCCTCAATCTTATTCTGTAAATGTTAACTTTCGCCCATTGTTTCTCTTCGCTGTTGTTGTCTTCACATGATTCATGAATGCTGACCTAACTTTAGAAACTGTCGTTCTCGATACACCTAATAATATAACACTTTTTGTCATAGATGCTTCAGCTAATTTGGCCTCTTAAAATTGGACAGGTTTCCCATTTTCAGATTTTTCACACAGACCTTCACTCAACATAATCACTAATGCCATGACATGAACACTGCAGAGTGTAAACAAATGGATGAACATTCAGTGTTGCTAACTGAAGTTCCATCAATGTAGTCATTACAAACAAATTGTATTCCTTAGTTCTCAGTGTTTCCATTATTTTGTCCACCTCCTGTATATATACAGAGTGTATCACAACTCGACATGGGGAGTCTGTTCCTGAAGTTTTGCCGTTGAGATGTGATACACTCTGTATATATACGTGTGTCAGTGGTGTTATTTGTGCAGTGCTCCAAGAGCTGTGGCGGAGGGATAAAGACACGCCTGGTAGAGTGCAAGCAAGTGATGGCTCTAAACCACTTGGTATTGCGCTCAGCATCCAAATGCCCTTCCAGTAAGCCTCCAGACAAGAAGCCCTGCAACACGCGTTCCTGTGTCATGGAGTCAGACAGGCCACATATAGCCACCTCCAACCACTCTTATGTACAGCAGAACCCCTCCAAGAAAAAGGTGACACTCAAGATCGGTGGGCAAGCCACTGTCTTCTGGGGCACACAGATCAAGATCAAGTGTCCAGTGAAACGGTTTAACAGGTAATAATAACAATTCAAAGTTATCTTTTACTTTGCTTTGGATTTGCACTATATGTATTTTCATTGACTGAAGATTTCCAATGTAAACAGTTGAGTATAGTCCCTTCATCTCCATCCAGTGCAGGGGTGAAGAATGCCGAAAGGTTTCCTTGCATGACCCCATATCCTTTAATCTTTATCGGCCATGCCTTGCACTATTGTAACTGTTCATATATACAGTCTAGCTGGCTGAGCACTGTATTTTTTAAATACCCTTATATGGATAAAATTAATCATTTTGTATTCGTTCGCATCTAAAAATATTCAGTGCTTCACAGTACACAATTCTTATGCATTATCTAGCAAAATGTACTATGTATGGGTTTTCTGTAAAAGACTGTTGGCAACTTAAATGTAAATATATATTGAATGCAATGACAGAACAACAAAATGGTTTGTACTTTACAAGGAACAGTAGTTATTTCCTTTATTTCTATGATTTTTTCTGTAATTTGACATACATCCAACATGTAAATCAGTTGATAAGATGTAAAAGTTTGTGACAATGGTAAACCGCTACAAGTACTGTGTTTTTGGACATTATCCATTGTCTTGTCTATTTAAAAAAAAAATATCCTGTCTGGAGATAGGGGCTACCTCTCTCTCTATTGGACCCAACTGAGTAGGTTTACCTGAGGACAGGGACAGAATGGGGTCTCCAGAACATTGTGTTTTAAGAAAGAAACAGGACTTTTTTTAAAAATAGACAAGACAATGGATAATGTCCAAAAGCATAATACTTGTGTTATGTAAATCATTTGTTGATATTTATAAGTATTTTATGGAATAAAGAATGGTTTGAAGTAAATATTGCATTTACATAATAAGCCTTTGTACGCATAATGTTTTATATTTACAGGACTAAAATACAGTGGGCAAAAGATCACAATTTTATAAGCAATTCAAAGAAATATAAGATTTCAAAGAAAGGTGCACTTCGCATTCAAGATGTAACACATAGGGATGGAGGAATTTACACTTGCCTTGGTAAGTTAGCAACTTAACTATTTAAATCACAGTGGTTACAATATGTACTACCTACTTTAATACTGAAAAACATTTCATCTTGCTCCCATAATACAATTATATGTTTCATGTGATTCTCTGGATGAATAGCAATCTTTTCCCTAGACAGTATTAACTGGTTGGTCTTTGTAAGGAGATGCAGTGTGTTTTCTTGTGAAGTATGTAATACGTTTTTAAACAGGTATATATAATTAAGATGAGTTTTGAAGAGTCAGAGTGTGTCTTCTTGAATTTGGTATTTAACATACTACAAGGTGATAATTATCATAAAATTTACATCGTTTAAGCCTTCCAGTATTTTATATGTGCCTGCTATATAGTTCCTCCATTCCCAAAATTATGACATCATGCCTAAAAGCCGGAATAATTCATTCGTAGGCAACTGCTTGGTAAATATATTCCCATGGAAATGAACATGTGCAGCGATAGAAGAGCGGTGTTTTCTGTGGGAGCCCCCCGACGCTATATAACGAGGATCTCAGGCAGCTAGAATTATAGATTTCTGTGTGGAGAGTGACCGCGCCATAGCTCAAGTGGTTAGCCGCTGGTTACTGGCTTCCCACTGTGGCGGCCCGGGTTCGATCCCGGGGTCTGGTCAAGTGGGATTTGTGGTGAACAAAGTGGCACTGGGGCGGGTTTTCTCTGAGTACTTCGGTTTCCCCTGCCAATCTTCATCCCACCAAATTCTCCATCATCATAATCACCCTGGGAATGTACAATAGGCCAATCAGTGGCTGCCATGCCGAGTGGACCCAGTTGGACTCCACACCCCATTAGGCGAAATTTCCCATGTGGAGGTGGGTTTGAATATCTCCACTGTAGCCCTGTGAGTTATAGGAGACGAAAAAGGGAACCCAGTGCCAGGGGGTATAACTGGGCTACCCTGTTCCTGGGGCTTAAAATACGGGGACCTGGCCCTCCAGGTTTGGAGAGCCTTGAGTCTGAGATAGTAAAATAGTCCTGCTGGACTTGTATCTGAGAATTACTGCTCTTTGAGGGCCAGCAGCAATTGGAAACAACAGACCAATCCTCTCGTTAGAGATGAATTTACATGAGGACTATAACCACAAGTGTTCAGTTGAAGAACAATACTAATCATAGGTCTTATGGGGCTTGGTGCAACGATGAACTGATTGGTGGTAAACCACCAGTTGTAAGGTAACTCTGACTGCTACTTTCTGACTAGAATTAGAATTGAGTCAAGTTCTGGAGTTGGCAGTTGCAGCAGATATTTGAGAGAGAGATGACAATTGGCAGAATAATTTAGAAGAAATGGCAAGAAAGGAATTAGGCTGTGAAAAGAAGACTTCATATGTGCTGCAGTGGAAGTGAGATTGTTATAAATCCGTTGCCAGGATACGACTAATGAAGACTGAGAACCATAGTCTGTGTGTCACAGTGAACTGTAAAGTGTGGAAATAGCAATGGAGCTATAATTAAATGTGTTTCCGAGTGATGTGTGTAATGTGTCAATAAATCCACTCATCCAATCCAAAACCTCATCTATAAGTCACATGCCCCCCCCCCCCCACCCACAGTGACAATATCTTTCCTTTGTGTAATTTATAAGAACTGAGATTTAACACATTTTCACTGGATAATATGTAGTTTTAATTACTGACAGTAGTATTAAATAAAGCAAAGATAATAGTCTGAGGTACTAACAGCATCATTAACTAAACCACAAATAAATACAATTTGTGAGCAAAACTTAATATTGATGGGACAGTTATGTAACTTTGCTTGAATGAACTAAATGTTGTACCGGTCTATTGTAGTCACTTTTTGAGATCACCTAGGTTTGTGTGTCAAGTGGATTTATTCGTTGAGTTCTTTGAAGACTAAAGTAATTTCACATGCACTTGTGCATGAAATAAATATCAAAACATATGTACATAAGATTTCTGCCTCTGGAGGCAGAATATGAACTAGTTGATGAAATGATTAATGTATAAATATGCAAAAGATATATAAGTGCAGTACAGGTCTCAGAAAATTTCCTATAGCAAAGTTTAATAAAACTTTTTGTTGATCACTGCAAAATGTTTTCCACAGCTGGACAGTCTTCTGCTGACCTTGTTCTAACAGTGAAGGCAAGACCTGGAGAGTTCCCTAGTTCAGAGGAGATCGATCGGCAGGCTGCAAACCGCATGCTGGATAGGACAAGCCTTGAGGATGCAAACATGGAAAGCAATGGTAACTATTTCTGTTTGTTTAGAGGAACTCAGGTTAACGTATTGTGGCATGTCTGCTGAGAGCAGAATTGTGAAACCAGCAAAGACAGTTGTTTACTTAAGAATGGCTCTGTAGACACATCCATTGCTAGACAGTGACTCAGTGGACGTCACGTGACCTCTGCCATGCTTACACGCCATAGCAGTAGAGCATGTCATGCCACTCGCCAAATTCATCACCCATTGCTAGGCAAAGATGCAATAAACGTCTCTCCTCAGTGACAGTGACATGACGTAACAACAGCGGAACTGTTGGAAGTGGTGTTTCCTGTTGGGTCCATCCTGAAGCTATATCACGAGAGCCAATGAGTCAACAGAAGGGTTGGCTTCCAAAGTTTCATGCTTATATGATTACATAACAAAATTATGCAGGCAACAATTAAATCCATGAAAATGCAAATGTTCGCAACATTGGACAAGGCAAGACCTGACACAGGAAACATAGGATCTTAAACTTGGCGGCTGTCAAGCATATGACCATTCAAGTGACTAAACTGCCATTGTGGTGGGAGCTACTAAAGATAGGGCATTATCTGCTCTGTCTAGCCTGTAATTGGTGACAGTGTTACAGTCATTTGTAGTTACTAATTATAAGCCTTCAGTAAATCCAATAACTGATCCAAACACTGTATCTACTCACTAACACATAACAGTATGAACTTTATCTCTCTTAGGTCTACTTGAATCTGCTTTTGTATCTCTTATGTCAAAAATATTGATCTACATGGCAAAACAGGCAAGTAATATAATTTATGTAATATCACATTTCCTCAAATTTTCCAATTAAAACTGGTATGTCCAATGTGTAGGTAAAACTCTCTGCATACCCTGTGAAGGTATGGAGACTTTTCTATTATTCCAAGCAAAATTTAAAGAAGNCTACCCTGAAGATGGAGGCGATACGTTCCTCCGAAACGTCGGTTAACACCACATATACACGGTGCCAAATCCCAGAAGACTGCTTTCTTCATAGTCACCGCCGTGAAAGCCTCAAATCTTAAATTGTTTTTATTTGCAGAATGATACTGATTGTAACAAAATTAATTTGCAGTTAACATGTCTCATAATCACTAAGAAAACTATTTTTTTTTTTATTACTGGTGGGGTGGGACGAAGCCCCTTGTACTGCGGCCACTTGTGGCCTATTGTACCAGCCCCAGATGTTAGGTGAGGGTGATTGTGGAGCAATTGGTGGAATGAAGATTGGCAGGGGAAACCGAAGTACTCGAAGAAAACCTGCCCCAGCGCCACTTTGTTTACCACAAATCCCACTTGACCAGACCTGGGATCGAACCCAGGCTGCCGCGGTGGGAAGCCAGCAACTACCTGCTTGAGCTATGGCACGGCCAAGGAAACTAATATGAATTGTCATCAGTTTCATGACAAATTCCCCCTCATTCTTTTCCTACTCTTTCTTCCTCCAAGCTTTTCCATTTACTGTGCCTTCCATGCAACCATTTTCTCTACCCATCCCTTTCTCTTTGTTACACATTACATTCTTTCCTTGCTTTGTTGCTCCAGTTGTAATATCCTTGTCTCTCTCACTCTCTGACAGGAATCCATTCCCCTGTCTATCATGGCTATCATTGTTTTTCATTTATGTATCAAACTAGAGCAGTGATCTGCTTTTTAATTTATAGTGTTCTTGTCAGTGTATTTTAATGTTTTACTCTTAATATTACTTTTATATAATCATATTCAAACAAAGATGGCGGCTAGTCGTGTACTGCTTGATTCGTCCTCGGAGCAATTTAGTCACAAACAAGATAATCATTGTGTTTACAAATGTGTTAATTGTGTCACGCTGGAAAGCCAGTTAAAGGAAGCTTTGTTAGAGCTGAGTTCGTCTCAATGCATAATTAAGCTCTTATATAAAGAGTTAAATGAGGTCACTGCTCAACGCATGTCTGTACGTAGTACTATGGAGGTTAGCGGAGCGTGTGATGAGCCGGCCTTGTCTACTACATGGTCTGATGTGTTGTCCAAACACTCTTGTGGTAAGATTAAAGCAGTTAATTCCGAGTTGTTGCAAGCTCGGCGACCGGTTCCTGTCGCCAATAGATACTCAGCTTTATCTTACCTCCCTGAATCTGCGAAAAGGGAAGAGGAAACAGTCCCATCGAAAAGGGAGAAGGTAAACCAATGCCGTATTAACTACTATAAGAAGAGTAGTGAACAAAGAGGAGTGAAGAATTCATTAATGAAGCATCGTCCCGAACAACGACCACCTGCTCTAAGTGTTCCTGCATCTAGAAATGACCAAGGGAGTGAGTGCAAAATTGGTTCTTTACCTAGCCACATACCGACACTTATCAACGGTGAAGTTTGTTTCGACAAGAAGGATGGCTTTAGGCAGTGTGAGAAAGATAATCTGAGTTACATACAATCTGTAGTGCGGGAATCTTCACAGAAGCTTCTAGTTAATAAAAAGGAATTCTCTAATTCTCGCAAACATAAAGTATTATTGGTAGGCGACAGCCACTTACGTGGTTATGCAGCTCATATGAAAGCTTTTTTGAATGATCAGTTTGAAGTGTCTGGGTATGTTATGCCAGGAGCTTCATCAAAAATGGTGATGGAGTCGGCAAAAAGTGACATTGAAAAACTCACGATGGACGATTTCCTAATTTTGTGTTGTGGGTCGAATGATGTAAGATACCTTAAAAGGGTATTTTATAATGTGACTAGCTTTGTAAAAAGGGTTAATCAAACTAATGTAATCTTAATGTGCATCCCTTATAGGTATGATCTTAGGAATTCCCATATTAATAGTGAAATTCAAGCCTTTAATAGGAAGTTATGCAAGCTAGCTAAGATCTTTTCTCATGTCAATGTAATAGAGATGCATAACAATAGACAACTATTTACTGCACATGGATTGCATCTGAACAGCTTGGGTAAAGAGTTGCTTTCTAGTTATCTACTTCTTCATATTTATTCAGCGTTGAAAGAAGATATGGGCTCAGTAATAACTCTTGCTTGGCGAGATAGCAATTTTCAGGTTACCTCTTCTCCTGTTGCTAGTTATTCCACTCCCCTAACTATTTCAGATAATCAGAATCTAACAACTAATGAAACTATTTTGGACAGGTTAGCCAGTACTCCCCGTTTAGATAAAGAAAGTTTAACTAGTTGTACTGTAAATGGCAACATAAAAGTAGGTAATCCTAGCATATTGAAGACTAGAACTTCTAGTAGAATCAAAAAAGCCCCTGTGACAAAAAAAGATTTTTTATGGTAAAGTCAACCTCTAGATCACAGACAGGTAAATCCATTCCTTCGTTGAATAAAGATGTAAGTGCTAATCAATCAGCTGTAAGGAACACTATCAAATTGAATAATGCTAAACCACCTTATGATACTGTTCATAAGAACCATATTCATCCTTCTAACAAATTATTACAGAATCATTATAATACAAATAAACTAACAATTCTTCATCAAAATATACGAGGAATTATTAATAAAGTTGATGAATTCTTAAATTCATTATCTCTTAATGCACCTCAAATTATCTGCTTATCGGAACACCACTTGAAAACTGATGAAATAAGTGAAGTAAATTTTGATCACTATACTGTCGGTACTTCCTATTGTAGACAAACATACAGTCATGGAGGTGTGTGTGTTCTTGTTCATAAGAATATCCAATTTAATACTATTAATCTAGACCAATTTAACAAAGAGAAGGACCTTGAAATTTGTGCTTTGAAGTTAAACGTAGCTTCCAACAACTTCACTATTATTTGTATTTATAGATCTCCAACCGGCAACTTCTCATACTTTTTAAATCAGTTGGAATTAATTCTGAACAAAGTACACAAAACATCAAGTGAATTAATTTTATGTGGTGATCTCAATATAAACTATCTTAATGACAGTTCTAGGAAAGATCTCTTAGATTCTCTTTTAGCCTCTTTTAATCTCTTCAGTACGATTAACTTTCCTACCAGAATCTCTAATAACTCTTGCACCTTAATAGATAATATCTATATCAATACTCATCGGCATGAATATTCCGTGCACCCTGTTATTAATGGTCTATCAGACCATGATGCTCAGGCTATTACCTTAAATAATATCTCCATTCCTGTCCCTAAACATGTATCCACCTATACGAGAAACATTAACAACTACTCGATAAGTCAGTTTACATGTCTGTTAAGTTATGAAAATTGGGAAGATGTTTTTCTTGAAACCAATGTCAATGTAATTTTTAATAATTTTCTCAACACATTTCTAAGAATCTTCTATTCATGTTTTCCTGTAAAAAAATCCCAGTACTCTTATAAACAAAAACCATGGCTAACTACTGGTATTAGAATTTCATGTGCAAATAAAAGGAAACTTTATCTAACTTACAGAAATAATAATGATCCAAATTTCAAGGAATATTACAAGAAATATTGTCGAACCTTGGCTAGGGTCATTATGGCAGCAAAAAAATTTTATTATAATAAACTTCTATTAAAATCTAATAATAAGACCAAAACCACTTGGAACATACTTAAAACCATTACTCATAATAGAAGTACTAGTAATAATATATCCTCAATGACAATAAAGGATAAATTATCATGTAATCCATTAGCCATAGCAAATGCATTTAATACTTACTTTTCATCTGTAGCTGAAAATTTACTTACCAAAAATGTCTCTAGAAAAACCATTATTAATAATAAAGATTTCTTATCTTATTTACATCAGAATTTCATACAGTCGTTTTCAACGATGAAACTCAGAAACACTACCACTTATGAAATTGAAAAAATAATACACTCTTTGAAATCTAAGAATTCTCATGGGTATGATGAGATATCATCAAGAATTCTGAAAGTTAGTACTCCCTATGTTTTATCGCCCTTAACATACATATTTAATATGATCCTACAAACAGGTATATTTCCGGATAGATTAAAATTCTCAGAAGTTAAGCCGTTATATAAGAAAGGAGATAAAACTGAATTCTCTAACTACAGGCCTATCTCACTTCTCCCAACATTTTCCAAAATTATTGAAAAAATAATTTATAAAAGACTGTATTCTCACTTAAATAAGAATAATATACTTGTAAAAGAACAATTTGGTTTTAGAGAAACGTTATCTACCGAAATTGCAACATACACACTTCTAAACAACATACTGTCATCTTTAGAAAAAAAAAATTATGTAGGCGGACTATTCTGCGACTTGCAAAAGGCCTTCGACTGTGTTAATCATAACATACTTTTGGCAAAAATGGAATTTTATGGGATCTCAGGCATAGTAATTAAATTAATGAGATCATATTTAGAAAACAGACATCAGAGAGTATCAGTGAAAGATATTAAGCTTAATAAAGTATCTTCCAAATGGGAGCCTGTCAAACATGGAGTTCCACAGGGCTCTATATTGGGTCCATTACTATTTCTCATTTACATAAATGATTTTCCACTAACCATAAACAAAATGGCTAATCCAATATTATTTGCAGATGATACCAGCATCATTATATCAAGCACTAATCCTGAGGAATTTAAAAGTAATGTCAGTTCAGTCTTGAATGAGACAATTAATTGGTTCAATAGCAACTTTTTAACACTGAATTGTGAAAAATCACACTTCTTGCAATTCTTATTAAAAAAACATAAAGAAATAAAAATGCAAATAATATCTTCTAACTCAGTGATTACCAATATTAATTGTACTAAATTCCTGGGTTTAAATGTTGATAGTACAATGTCATGGAAGGATCATATCACTGAACTGTCATCAAGACTAAATAAGGCTTGTTATGCAATAAGGGCAATAAAACCATTTATGTCTTTAGACTTAATGAAGTCGATCTATCATTCCTATGCACACTCTATTCTATCTTACGGTATTGTCTTCTGGGGTAATTCTTATCTCAGTGACAGTATTTTTAAAATTCAAAAAAGAATAATAAGAGTTATTACTAGCTCAGGTAGATACGACTCATGCCGTGAATTATTTAAAAAATTACAAATATTGCCACTTCAGTCTCAATACATATTCTCACTACTTGTCTTTGTCATCAAGAACAGAAGTTGCTTTATATCTAATTCTGATATTCATGATATTAATACTCGTTACAACCACAATTTACACTTGCCTTCTACAAATCTGTCATCTGTACAGAAAGGAGTACTCTTTTCTGGAAGTAAGATTTATAATCACTTACCACTAAATATTAAAATGCTATCTAAAGATATTAAGCATTTCAAATCGTCATTAAAAACCTACCTTACAGAACATGCATTCTATAGTATTGATGAATATTACCAATTAACTTCCTAATGAATATGGTTCTTTTTATATTTCTTGCCCTTTGTACATTTAGATTAGTTGTAGGAGGTCTTCCCACTGTAAGTTCAATTCATTCATGTTTCATTGTCTTCATTATTATATGGTGTATTTGTTCAAACTGTGTTTTTGTGACACTGTTGTGCAATACTGTGTTTTGCTTTGTGTCTTTGATCAAAATGTGTTTTTGTGACACTGCTGTTATGCAATACTGTGTTTTTACTTTATGTCCTTATTGTGGTCTTTATGAATGTACGTATATATCATTATTTTATGTTTATATTATATTTGTATCTTGACAGGTTCTATATCCCATAGGTTGGTTTGACCTTGTATGGATTAACAGAATGCAAATAAATGAATGAATGAATGAATGAATTCATTAATACATTCCGAAATATTTAGTTGACAAAGCCCATTTGATTTAAATGATTCCTATAGGATATGAATATTTCACAGTCACAGTTGAGTTGAGTTTATTTATATTCTGTAAATCCTAAGCAGGTTGATCCCTTTGGATACAGAACAAGTCATAAGTTACATACATTAGTAGCGTCAATTTTAACTTGAAAATTTATATAACATTAATTTGCCATCATTCTCTGTTTACATTGAAGTATTCATCTGTAGAGTAGAATGAATGAGCATCTAGATAATTCTTCAGCGCTAATTTAAACTGTCCAGTATCATTATTCAAGATTTTGATACTTTATGGCAGATTATTAAACACTTTTATGCCAGTGAAGTAGACTCCTTTTTGATATAGTGACAAGTTTGATGAAAGTAGTTGAAAGTCATATTTTTGTCTAGCATTCATGTAATAGACATCAAAACTATTTTAACATTATCTTTATTGTAAATAAGAAACAGTAGACGTGATAATAGGTATTGCAATTGAAGAGATTGAAAGTTTAAGTTCTTAAATAAGTCACTGTATGAATCTCTACTTCTGCATCCTGAAAGTCACATCCACAGTCCTAGAATTTCAGTGTGAATTACATTCTCACTGCACACGTTAGCATTTGGAACAAGAATAATCTTACTGTTGAAGGACAAAGCCACGATGGACGTCGTCCCTTTCTGCCAGGAGTCGATGATCTGAGCCATGAGCTGCGACCAGAAAGCAACCCCTTGTCTTCCCTGCCCAAGAAGCCATCAGGAAGAGTGCATACTGCACCCTCTTCCACTCCAGTACCGGAGGTAATTGAGAATCGGGTGGACTTCTGGCCACTGCCAGGCACACCACTTGTGAAGGACCAGGTACAGGTACTAAGGATCACCCCATCATGTTTCATGCATCATACACCAATGAACACACAATCACCACCATGCAATCATTTCATGTTGCATGGAGAGTCCATGATAGACAAAACAGTTTACCACTGCCTGAACTTTACTGCTCACTGTTTGTCTTCTAATGAAATGGCAGCCACACTGACACAGATATTGCTAAAACTTGGTGATGGTACTCAGCTTCCCACTACCACAGACTGCTTGAAAATTTTAAAAATTTGAGATCACAGTCATTTTCAAATAAATTGTTAGCTTGTAGTGTCACTTGGGCTTCTTCAAAGTGAAGTGAATACATTTCCAAATACCATAGAATTATCCCCCAAATTTAAGAAAAATATGCACAGAGTCTATATGTTATGGCTATTTTACTATTCACATCTTATTTGGGATTTTAACTTATCAGAATATATTGCTCATCAAGCTGCCCCTGTTTGTCCTAAGAGAGACTGGTCCATCACTGCCTAACTAAAAGAAGGTAACCAGAGCTGGAAATGGATGTAAATGCTACCTCCTTAGTTCCAAAGAGTTTTTTTTTTTTCCTTTTTTCAAAGATATTTGCAGTATCATACAATGTCATAACTATGTTCTAATAATGTTATGTGTAGGAAATAATTCCTTAACCTGCATTATAATAATTTCCTTTATAATATACATTGGTCAATCCAATGGGATTTTCTGTTGATCTCTGACATTTACCTAGTACATAAAAGCCATTTCTGCCTCTAACACCATGGAGCTGAGCCCGCCTTCAGGAGCTGCCAGTTGTGTAGCTACTTAAGAATTTCTCAACATTTTGGGGACCTGAAAGTTCATCATGATGTTCTCAAAAGCTGTTCACTGGTCCCTATCCTGAACCAGAACAATCCAGTTCATACCCATACCCCATCCTATCTCTCTAAAATCCATTTTAATATTATCCTCCCACCTGTGTCTTAGTCTTTCTAGTTGCTCTTCCCTGCTGGTTTTTCTTCCAATACCCTATATGCATTCCTCTTCTCCCCTATTCGTGCTACATGCCCTGCCCTCCTCATCGTCCTTGACTTTATTATTGTAATTATACTTGATGAAGAGTGTAAGTTATGAAGCTTCTCATCATGCAGTTTTCTCTACCCTCCTGTTACTTCATCCCTCTTTGGTCTAAATATTCCCCTCAGCACCCTGTTCTCAAACATCCCTAGTCTATTATCATCATTGGTTGCATCCTGTCATGTGTTTCAGATATATTATATAGGAATTAAGTCTGCCATCAACACAACAAATACTCAGTTTTAATTTCGATCTTTATTGCTGCTTAAGAGTCGTTGGTAGCACAGAAGATACTGGATACCACAACGAAGGATTCCCAAAATTATTAGGTCAAAAAAAGATTGCAGTGGTTACAGTATTCAAATAAAACAAATGGGATTAATCTGAACAATACATGACATGAAGACAGCAGGAATTTCAGAAATAAAGAGAGGGAATACCTGAAATATAAAATTAATGAGCTTGAAACAAGTAGTAAGAACAAGTACATGAAAGACCTGCATAGAAGAATAAATGAATTTAAGAACGGTTACCAGTATAGAAGTAACTTAGTGAAGGATGACAGTGGTGATCAGCTTGCAGATTCCCACAACATTTTCAATAGGTAGAAGAACTACTTCTCCCAGTTATTGAATGTACAAAAGGTCAGTGTAGTTAGGCAGATAGGAATATATACAGATGGGTCATTATTACATGATCCTAGTCCTTTTGAGTTTGAAATTGTTATTGCAAATTTTGGAAAGATATAAATTACCAGTTGGTGATCAAATTCCAACAGAACTGATTCAAGCAGGAGGTGAAACATTATGGTCTGAGATCCATAAGCTCATAAATTCTATTTGGAATAAGGAATAATTGCCTGATCAGTGGAAGGAGTCAGTTCTAGTACCAGTTCACAAGACGGTGATAGAACTGACTGTAGTAATTATCATGGGATATCGCTGCAATTAATATCGTAAAAGATTTTTATCCACTACTCTTCTCTCAAGGTTAAGTCCATATGTACTTGTAATTATTTAGAAACATCAGTGTGGGTTTTGATGTAATAGATCAGCTACTGATCAGATCTTTGTTTTCATCAGATACAGGAGAGAAAATAGCTGTTCACAGACTTCAAGATAGCCTATGATTCAGTTAGGAGGGAAATCAATATTCTCATGGAGTTTAGGGTACTGATGAAACTAGTTAGACTGATTGAAATATGTTTAAATGAAACATATAGTAAAGTTCATGTAGGTAAATATTTGTCTGTTAATTGTCCTGTCCAGAATGGTCTAAACAAGGAGTTTCTTTATCGCAACAGCTTTTTCAACTTTGCTTAAAAACATGTCATTATGAATGTTTAGGAAAACTAAGTGGGACTGAAATTAAATGGGAGGACACATCAGCTGTTGGTCTATGATGATGATGTGAATCTGTTGGGTGATAGATACCATAAAGAAAAACACAAAACAAAAACAAACTCTGTGGTTTTAGTCCACAAACGAACTATACTGATTGAGCGACCGCCGCTTGTCAACGAAGTTAGTGCCAACTTTAAAAGAAGGTTGGTCTAGAAGTGAACACAAAGAAATCTAAATACAGTTGCTGTCTCATCACCAGAATGCAATGCTGAAGAACGTCTGCAGTGTGTAATCTGTCTAAGTACTTTACCTGCAGATAGTATGAAACCTAATAAATTAAAGAGACATCTTGAAACCAAACATCCGAAGTTTACAAATAAACCAAAAGTTTTTTTTGTTAGAAAGCTTAGTGGTTTAAAGTCCACCCAACAGAAATTTGCTAAAATAACAGATGTGACTTCTAAGGCCCTTTTGGCCTCTTACCAGGTTTCTCATAGACTTGCTAAATGCAAGAAACCACAGACAATGGCAGAAACACTGATTTTACCAGCAGCGATTGACATAGNGCTGGTGTGGGGGGGGCTCGGCTTTTCGCACATGTCACAGTATCAACAATGTTGGGTGACTCTTCTGCTCAACAATTTAAAAAAATATCCCCCTCTCTAATGACACAGTTTGTAGAAATATTTCAGACATTTCTGACGATTTACGTCAGCATTTAATTGAGAAGTTGCGTTAACAAGTGCTTTGCACTTCAAGTGGACGAAGCAACTGATATTCATAAAGATGCTCATTTCATTGTGTACCTTCATTTTTTTGATGAGTGTAATATGTGAGAGGAATTGTTTTTCTGTGAGCCTATCTTGGAGACAACAGCTCAAAGCCTTTTCGACATGATTAATGCTTTCTTTAATGAAAATGGGATATCATGGAATAAGTGCACTGGCATATGTACAGATGGAGCTCATTCAATGTCTGGAGTCCATGCTGGATTACAAGCAAAAATTAAAGCTGTTGCTCCTGAAGCAGTATGGACTCACTGTATGATACATCGGGAGGCTCTGGCAGCTAAAGAACTCAGCCCACCCCTTCATGAAGCGCTGCAGACGGTTGTAAAAACCATCAGTGTTATCAAGACAAATCCTCTGAAGTCTAGACTTTTTAAAATGCTTTGTGAGGAAATGGCTGCCAAACACACTGTCTGTTGTTTTTTAGTGATGCTCAATGGCTTTCAAGAGGCAAGGTATTAAAGAGAATGTTTGAGCTGAGGCATGAGGTGTTGTGTTTTTTAAATGGGGAAAATCACTCACTGGCAGATAGTTTCAGCAACAAGGATTTTTTTATAGAAAATGGCTTACCTCACAGATATATTTGAGAAACTAAATATCCTCAACACTTCACTTCAAGGGAATGAGGCAACTGTACTTTCATGGATTGACAACATGAAGGCATTCATGAGAAAATTAGAGCCCTGGAGAAACAGTATGTAAAGTGACACGCTAGACATGTTCCCTATTCTGGTGTCAATGGTACAAGACACTGATAATCCAGTGCTTCCAATGGACATAAAAAGCTGCCTACTTGATCATCTCATAATGTTGAAAGTTCATTTTGAGAAATACTTATCCAATGATTTTGATGAATTTAATTGGATAAGAAATCCATTCAAAAATGCTCCTGGGCCATCAACTCTGAATGTAAATGAGCAAGAACAACTCATCGATCTCACTAGTGATACTTCATTAAAAAGTAAATTTAAGGAATTGTCTTTGTTGGAGTTCTGGATACATATTGGCAAGGAATTCCCAACTTTGAGCCAAAAAGCATTGAAGATCCTGATTCCTTTTGCAACAACTTACTTATGCGAGACAGGCTGTTCTGCTTTGGCAGCTATAAAGTCAAAGTATCATTCAAGGCTAAATATTGCTAAAGAAGTTAGAGTGGCCATTTCTGATATTACACCATGTTTTGATAAACTTTGTTCTCGAAAGCAGGCCCATCCATCACACTGAACTTTGACATTTAAATGTTTGATTTCCGTTGCAGAAAAAAAATTAAATACTTGTTAGTTAAATATCGTTTCATTTCAGTACATATTTTGGTTAACTGCAAGTGTTAAAACTAATTTTTATTGTAGGCTTAATATTGTGATACTTTAATTTTGAGTAAAAAAACTGCTAAGTAGTATGTAGAAAAACACAAAATAAACTGAATAAAACGTCAAACATGCCATGACTTCTATTTTGATAAAAAAAACAAGCTGGAGGCCTGAGAGTATTTTCTCTTGTCAGGGGGGCTCAGAGGTAAAAAGTTTGAGAACCACTGGCTTAACCTATTGTGCATAACTTTTTCAAGTACTTGGAGTTGGCCAATTAATTCTCCAGACTTCTCAGATTGAAGTTTGTTTCACCTCTCGCCTTTGAAAACTTTAAACACTAATATGAGAAGACTCCAGCTACTGCTTATGAGTCATTATTGAAATCATACAAACAGTATTCTGAATGCCTTTTTCTAATAACTGAACTTTCTGTTATTTATTTGAAAGAAGAATGTTTAAAAAGTAATATTTCAGACCTGTTCAAATATTTGATTGCTTCA